CGATGGCGAGGCTGGGGCCGTTTTCTTTCTGCTTCGATTCCCTTTCGAAAATCGATCGGACCCCGACTACATGCCAGCTGAAAAGCTCGCTGTTGCTGGCAATTTCGGATATTTACAGTGCTCCCTTGCTCGGGATATCCGGCGGGACGCTATAGAGTCGCGGACTAGTTTCTGCTCGGTGGCGACTTGAAATTAGAGTACGGTTTCCAAAAAAAAAAAAAAGAAAAGAGAAACAGGGGTTGGAAACAGTCCTGACGTCGGATTTGGTTCTTCAAACATGGAAAACCGAAAAAGTCTCGTAACTCTTGTATAAAACTCTAGAGATGGACAAGATTTCTCACGGCAATTAAAAAATTCTTTCTGGCGAACATGGAATATTGATACAATTCGTTTTTGTTAGTATGCACTTGCATTCCAAAAACTTGTACATTCTAAACGTAATACGACGTTTAAAGTGATAAAATACAGTAATATAGCGTATTGCAGAGATGCGATCGTATCGCAAATATTTTCGACTTAAATATATGTTAAGGTTATTGTATGTACTATATGTATATCATTATATGTTATTATATGTATGTATTATATGATTATTATGTGTATGTACGTATTTAGACTTTTAACACCTAAAGGGAATACAATGCACATTTATGACATACAATAGCTATAACTAAAACCCAAAACCGTCGATATAATACGTAAACTGTGGTTCTCTATGTGAAATAAAAATTATGTACACTGACTGCAAGATGTAGGAGCTTAAGAAACATTTATTCCTTTTTTTAATCATTCTAACCCCTCTAACCCCCTTCATCTTCCTCCTTAATACGTAAACTGTCGTTCTTTATGTAAAATAAAAATTATGTACATTGACTGCAAGATGTAGGAGCTTAAGGAACATTGATTCCTTTCTTTAATCATTCTAACTCCTTTAACCCCCTTCGTCCCTAACAATTCCCCTGATAGAATGATACAATTTTTGCTTCTTGTACGTCTGAATACATTCCTAGATTTCGATAACAGGAGAATCAAATTTTCTTTCGATTTTCGGATAGAATGAACAACATTTATATTTTGTAGATTATATATAAAATCTTCGTCATAAGTCTGACTGGTTATAGAGCAAGGGGTTAACAAGTTTATTTGATTAGGGATTACAATAGTATCATAAAATGTTTTCAACGTCTCCACTTTCTTGAATTTGATGCAGTCAATTTAGTTACAAAATTCTTCGGGACTGTTTCGAGAACCGACACAGTTCGCAACCACTTATTTTCGAGACCGTTTTAATCCCAGATAATAAATCCTCGGACGCTTTGTTTCTCTGTACATTGTTGAAGGATTTGAAACAGTTGATTATTGAATGGAAAGATGATTGATGCGAAGCTTACCGAGGGAAGATGACGGCGGCTGCTCCACGAAGGGTAGTTCGGGCCGGCACTATCGAGAGGGACAAGATGGTGAGCGAGGAATCAACGTCACCGAGGCACCGGGGTGTAAGTTAGGAAAAATAGGTCGATTAAGATTGTAGGTCTCCATCAAACTGTCTCTTAAAATATTCGGTGGCCGATCGAAACATAATCTACGAAATGGAGGCGAGTGCGCCCGTGCCGAACACACGTGTTACACGTATCTGTCCTAAAGAGAAAAGGGGACTGAGGTATGCTAGCTGGTAGCCAACGATATCGTCGAACCTAACGAGAGGGAAAAAACGTCATCAAAGACATGCTCCCGGCGAGTGTACTCTAAGAATATATACAAGCCGCGGCCTGGGTCGCCTCGTCCCGAATCATCATCGAAAAAGGTAGAAATTCGACGCGGGCTCGGTAAAATACAAGCGGATGCTGCCGTCGAATAATGTAAATAAAATTCCGATTACAACCAGGTGAAATGCTTGCAATTTTCCGCAATTTGGGGAACCCGTCTCGGGTCATTTGGGGTAACCGAAAATTAATTACTTTCCGGGGTCGTTTTGTTTACGATGAATTTCGATCTTTGAGGGATATTAATTAATATATGCAATTATGGACGGGACAATTTAAAAATATTCCCGTTCGTTATTATGATTTTTAATGAGAAATTAACAAGTTCAATGCTGGCACGGTCGGCAGACTATTGTGCCGCCATCTTAACGCCGCCTGGTGAAACAGGTTCCGCGTCTCGGTTACCCACTGCGAATCATCGATCCGGTTACCGTGAAATGTTTATTAATATTTGTCCAATTGTCAAGCTACTTCAACAAGTCTGCGTCGTTGCATTTTTCTGTGGAGAAAAAGCTATCGCTAATTAGCAAATTTCATTGAAAAGCGACGGAGACCGCGCGTCTCGTCGGGTTTGCGCAACGTTACGCCACGTTGCCAAATAGTTTCCGTTCCCGGCATTTTGTTAATAACAATCTCCGCCCGGGATAGAACGAGCGCCGAGAGCGAACGACAATTATTTAGCCGGGTCGCCGGAGCTTTTTTTCTAATATAATTAGGACACCGTCACAATTAAGGCACTCGTATTTCTTATTTTTGCCCCGAATTGATTCAGAAAAATGGCCCTCGATGCCGTGGAGAAACGAAACTACATTATGCACAGGGAACCGTTTTCCTTGCAGCATTCTCGGAATGATAATGGCATCGTTTGAAGTGTTCGCGTAATTAATGAAGCTAAAAACTTTTGACCGTTAATTACGCTGTCCATTGTGCCCGAAGAGTTCTTTCTTTCTACGGGAGCACCGTAAGAATGCGAATAAAGAGCACGGACCATATTGCAATCAAAGAATATCTCGCGGAATAAATTATATTCGCGGCACTTTTCTCCTCGATGTCCGGTAATTGCACTCTCGTTCGCCCGGAATGCTTCTTGTAATGGCCAAACGCGCCTATCAATTTCCACCGCGATATTTATAAACCTGCACGAACTCGCCGCGACAAAATATTTCGTTATCGATCCACACAAAAAGGAAATAGAAAAAGAAGAAGAAGCGAGGAAAACATTGCCGCGAGAATATCGTCTGCACGGATCGCTACGCATCTACAACAACCATTGTCCACGTTCGATTCGGAGATCGCTATTGTTCGCATAGATGAGCCTACGGAACCTTGGGCTTCCAAGTTGTTTCCGTGAATGGTGCCTTTCTTACATTGTCACCGAAACTGACCTTCCGTTTTCTTCACGGTCCTCCGCATTAGCAAATATTTTGAAACGGGACTCGGACCCTTCCGATTAACCATCGGGGAATCACCCTTAGGTCCTCTTGTTTGTCCACGGGGACGCTGCAGCGACCGTAGCCTTTTCCGGCGGTCCTCGAGCCACCGTCCCCTCTTTCCCTTTGGTCAACGAAGGCCACCCCCGAAGTACTCCTCTCGCGAAGTCCGGCCAAATTCGACCGAGAGGGATGACTTAGGAACTCCCAGGAGCCTCCGCGGCTACAATCCTAATTTTCCACGAGGAGCTAATTATTCGCCGCGTTCGGCCGAACGTTCTTGGGAACCAACGATCGATCGGTAAGAGACCGCTAAAATTCCCATGGAAGCTCGCTCGATAAGAGGGCACCCGCGCTCGCCGTCACGCAACCGGCGAGGAATTTTTGTAACTAAATTTAAGGGTAATCAGGCCCGCGGTGGTTATCCGCCATTACACGCTCGAAACAATCGCGCTAATAGAACAGAAAGCCCTCGAGCACGTTGGAATCGCGTCGCTGTTTCCTCCCTGAAAATTATACCCCTACGCTCTAAACGGTTATGAACCGAGCTAACCACGAGCCTGGAGTACCCGCCTCGGTTGTACCGCCTAGGCCTACGTCGTCCGTGAACCTTTGTCCGGGTCCTCGGGAAATACCTGGCCCGCGAAAGTCGTCCCTCGGTCTCGATTTTTCGTTCGTGGCCCCGGAAACGTCATAAATCTCGGCAACGACTGAAGAGATTTCGTTACGGCCCTTTAAACAGTTAACCGTTTTCCACGGATATACGACCGATTCTGTGTTTACAGGGCAGAGACTGTTCCAGGAGAAACCGTGCAGAAAATCACGCCGCGTGCATACACAAAGAAATAGTGCCGCCTTAAATATATATTTAGAAAATTACGGAAACGAATTGATCGACGGAATGTGAACAGGAAATTGCATTTATTTTCCTGGTCGTTCTTAAATTAAAACCGTACAAACAAATACCGTGTAGAAACAAAATTGGTTATATTGTTTCCACGCGAGTGTCCATTAAATTGCAGTTTTACTGAAAATTAAGGTACATATTCGTAAATTTGAAGGCGTTCCGAACAGATCCAGAGTCCGAGACGAAGCAAAACGAACGAATAAGAAAGTATAAATAAGTACAGTAAATTCTCTCTAATTGACGTTCCAATTGTTCACAAAAATGGACAATTTCGGAAGAGAAGATACGATTATTCGAGCCTCGCGAGCACGTTTTTGCAATTACCGATCGTTGGCAAGCATAAAAAGGAGTCGCAATGCTCGAATAATCGGATCTCCTCTTCTCATATTCTGCACTTTTGTGCACAATCTGAGCGTCGATTAGGGAGAATTTACTGTACTCTGAAAAAAAGCTGTACATATTGTCTATGTTAGCTGGTATACTCGTCGTGACTTGCATCTTGCGACACGTCTCGCGTAAACACTTTTGAAAGAGGTCGGGAACTGGTTAAAGGGCGCCACTTCCAATTCCAATGCCCGTAATCGAGAATTGGAATTTCGCGTAGGTACAAACAGTGCGGAGACTTCGTTTCTTGGAAGAGCAATTGGAGCAATCCGCGGCAACGATCGTCCGAGGGGCCACGCGATGCAGTATGACTATGCAGTTGGTCGGGTCGTAGCTCACTCGAGTGGGTGGGCCTGACATTCGCGGTCCCAGGACCGAATCGACGGTGTCTGGGTACGAGGCTGGCTAGGATCTTGGGGCAGGGACGCGTGGGGAGTGGTGGCGTTCGAGTCGGGGCCCTGAGGGCCCCTCACCTGGGCCCGGTGAGCGGTACGGTGGAGCGAAGAGGGGCTCGAGGGGGCAAAGGCACATTCCAAGGCAGAACGGCTGCCAGTGAAGGTGGAAGGCACCGGACTCAGTCTCTCACGATATTGCGCTGCGCCGCTATCCTCTCCCGACCGCGGTCGCTTCCTTTCTTCGGGGCCCGCTCTCTCCGCAGGCCCGTGGGACCGTGCGATACTCCGCCAGGCCCCGATGGAATCGGATTAACGAGGTGATACGTGCTTGTGATCTGGCCCGGGAAAAAAGGAAGGAACGGATTTTCCCCAGTGCGCGAGTCGTTTCGGGTTCGTTCGTCGCGTATGTGTGCTCGGCGGTGATCGTGTGCGCGGTGTGCGCGTGCGGTCGTCTTTTTTGGCGGCACGCGTGGCCGCACCGGACCCGACGTTTCGAAAATGCGCACGCTTAGCGGCGTGTCCCGGTATCCCAGTGGGAAGACCAAGGAACAGGGAGCCCGCGGCGAAAATAGACCACAGCCTCGTGTTCAGATCCGCGCTGAGATCGTCGGGCATGCGGAAGAAGCGTCAACGGGAGACAGTGATTGAGAGGACCCGGGAGAGCAGACGGGACCGCTTGAATATTCGATCGTGCAGGTGAGCCGCTATCTTGTGCTCTCTTAACGGCTGATATCCGCGGCCTAGGATAGACCCGCGGACGGGACGTGCCCGCAAGAAAGCTCCGCCGGTGCGGAGCGGTGCGGAGCTGTGCGCGCCGCGGCGCTGCGAAAATCGTTCTTTTCTCACGGTGTGTAGCGCGGAAGCCTGGCCGCGATCACGGTGATATAGCTTCGACGGCCAGGATGCTCGGGGTCGATCGACAGCCGTGGAATTTCTAGAGCAGCTCGCGCCCGAACCTGTTGACACGCACCGCTCCATTTATCCGTGACGAGAACCGGTATCCGGAGGAAGCTCGGCCAAGATAGCTTATCTGAGAACTAGGAATTAACAGCTCCCAACCGTCCGATAGAAACCCAGCCGTGTCGCGTTCGCGTTAATCTACGCGCGCAGCTTTCTCCGTTTGCCGTATCCCCGGGTGTCCGGTTCGCCGGGATCGATCATTCGCGAGGATGACTCCTCTCCGGGTGCTCGGGCCGCACCAACCAGGTGGTTACCCTCCTCGGTTACATCAGTTTCACGGTCACGCGTAAACCACGCGAGAATCTTTTTTACCGGTCAGGCATCCCGACGAGAACCGTCTGGAACCGAGCACCGGGGTGGGGGCGGCGAGGACCGCTCTACGGGCTCGGTTCTGCGTGAACGAAATTAAATCCACGTGCCGCGGAGTATTCCCATTCTTTCCTCCGATCCTGAACAGACGAAAGACGAGAGGAAGAGAGAGAGAGAGAAAGAGAGATAGAGTTAGACAGAGAGAAAAAGAGAGAGAAAGAGAGAGAGAAACTGAGAAGGAGTAAGATCGTCGAACGACAGAAAAAGTGAGTCGCGTCCGTGCAACGCCGTCGGCATCGAACTTGACCATGGCCTTCGGTGGCTTTGCACTCGCATAACGAGATACGAAGAATGCGAATGGACGGGGAGAGTCATCGGACCGTACTCGCGGGGACTACTTCGGACTGGTTTGCGGTAACTAGACCCGTGGCTTTAAGGTAGCCGTCGCTGCCGATCGATTTCGCAGGTGAAACGCGAACGGGCCATTACGCTAAGCAGATCCCTCTCCTTTAAAGCAGCCGCGAATAGGCCTGGAGCCCTTCTAACGGCTAATAAAAACGACACGATAACGTAACGGTGTCCGTGTTCCCCGTCCGCCGCGTCGCGTCGAATCCGATCGCCGTCGGCCCCGACTTCCTCTCGCGTTTCATCCGGCGAAAAGTTTGCGCGCGCGGGATCGAGAGAGGCTCGCCGGCGAGGAGATCCGATCGCCAGCGTCCGAAAGATACGTAACGATGCTTTCCGGCCGTTGCTTATTATCCAGACTCGTAAGAATTTCTTAACAAGCCCCCGAGATGCGGCCCGCAAGTTAGAGGGCGGGGATTCTTTTAAATAACTACAATGGCCCGGACCATAGTAGACCGGCCTCGGCTCCTCGGGAATTTCAAAAGGAGAAACGCCTAATGCCCGCCGACGATATTTATATAAGTTCTTCGGCAGCCATTCGAAAGTTTTAACGACGGAAGGCGCTAATAGGCCGTCGAACTTCGACGTGCTTCCGCGTCCAGAACGGATGCGATACCCGACGCCGCACCCGGCGCATCCGCGTGTCTTCGGAGTAATTGGGGGGAGGGGGAGAGAGGGGATTTTCGTTTGTTCGTTAACCGCGGGGCCGCGCGCGACGATCCATTCGATCGCGTTCCATTAATACCGGCTAGACCCGATATCGCGATCCGGCTCCGTTCAAGTTCTCGGAGCTAAAAGGCCTCGCCTACCCCGCGCAGGCCACGCCCACGCAACGGGAGACAACAAATTGTCCGCCGAATCGAAGGACTTCGAGAGGACCGTTTAAACGCGGCGCGCCGTCGAAGTCCTCGCTTTTATTTCCCACGTGTCCCGGGTTTGCCGCACGGATTGCGAGGCAGGCAGGCAGGCAGGAACGTTTCCGGGGACGAAATTATCGCGTTTATTTTTCACGTGTACACGGTGCTTACACGCTGTCTCCCGCTGTTTTGTAATCCGAAACGATTCATCAAGCCGAAGGAGCCGCGGCGGCGGCTAGACGGCGAATAAATCGCCTCTCGACGAGATGCGAGAAATGCAACGGGCGACCGACTCTCCGCGCGGATCCTCTACTCTACGATGATCGATCGTGATCGCGCATACGCGCCGACGAACGCCGCGGACGGACTTCGATATCCGCGCGATAAATAGCCGCGCGAAATGAACCGTACTTATCGGAAATGGAAGAAAGCCGGTCGTCGTCGCTCGCACGTTTCGCGCGCGCCTAATCGTCGTCGTTTCTCGGCAGTATGTAATTGTTCGCCGTTTCGGTGGCTTTCAGGTAGAAAGATGTCCCAGCCGCAATTGACCACCGACCTGGACGTTCCGGAAAGTCCGCAACACTCTTGCCAATGCTCGGCGATGAGCAGCATGGACTCGATGAGAGCGCAACGGGACAGGGCGGAGAGGGGCGTGGGTAGCACAAGAATTTCGAACAGTCAAGAACTCCCTAGGGGTCTGGAGGCACTCCAGAGCGCTTTCGAGCCGATAAGGAGACTGGAAAGTCCGCTGTCCCATCAGGAAAGCCAACAGATCAATTTGGAGAACAGCAGGGCCGTCGATATCATGGATCATCAGTCGGGCCTGTCGCCGAATCCGCGGTCGATCGAGAGCCAGGGGGCGGCGATTTTGTCGAGGCACGGCCAACAGCAGCAGCACGGGCTCTCGTGCAGCCCGAGGAACTTGGATCTCTCTCGAAACTTGGCGTTCGAGGCCGCGAGGCGAGTTCAGGAATCCGGCAGCGGCCTGCAGGATAACCAACACAGCCTAACTTCGAGCCCTAGCCCTTTGTTGGAGGCGAGCGCTGGCTTGCTGGAAGCGTCCGCGAAAGATCTGGACAAGCAGTTGGAGGATCATGCGGCCGGGTTATCGCCAAAGCAGGCCGCGCCGGGCAAAGATAAGCTGAAGAATATTCAGCAGGTCTTGAATCCTTATCAGCACCATCACGAGCCGGCCTCGGCGGATCGCAACGTCCACGGGCATTTCCACGGGGACGGTCACGCGCACGTCCACAAACACGGCTCGGACAACTTCCGGAGCGGCGGGAATTTGGACGGGGCCGAGGGGCTGATGGGATTTCAGCAGCACCAGCGGCAGCACACCCATCATCACCACGGGAACGCGAAGACCACGAACATCGGCCATCACCACGGGCCGGCCACCGTGCATCATCCGCACGGACCGCAAGGAATGACGGGCCATCATCACGGGAACCTGGCGCCCAGCCTCGCCGGCCACGTCCACGGAAATCCCGGGCCGCTGAGCGGACCCGGCCCGAATCCGATGAGCCAGGCAGCCGTCGGCAACCCTAACTCGCATCATCATCCGAACGCGTCATCCGGCATGGCTCACAGAGCATCGCCGACGAGTCATCATCGTCTGGCCAGCGCCGCGGCGCTGAGCAGTCATTACCCTTCGAACCCGGGTTTCGCCGGCGATCATCACGGGACGTCCAGCGCCATGAGCGGCGCCTCGTCGAATTCGAGCATGCTGAATCACGGCGGTTCACCGGCGGTCCATCGGCACGCGGTGAACGCCAACAGCAGCCTGTCGACCACACCCCTGGCCGGTCATCATCGCGGCAGCTCGTCCGGCAGCTTGACCGGACACTCCAGCGTGAACCATCATCATGTCAGCTCCGGGATTTCCTGCGAGTCCTCGTCGTCGAACGCGAACACGAGGACGCACAGCCGGCTCGACCACGTTCACGACCATCATCATCACCTGCAGCAAGTGCACGCGCTGCACCCGGGCCACCCCGACTCCAGGCAGAGGGACCGGGCACCGTCCAGCCTCGAGCACCATAGCCACCATCATGGGCACATTCATAGTCACGGGCATCAGCACTCGCAAAACAATGATACCAAAAACTCCTCGCTCATCGGGGTCGACTCGATTCAGGTACATTTCCGATCCAAGTCTCGATCGAATCTCGGGGACGCTACGATACGCGGACAGCATGTGTAAGAATGTCATTCGTTCAGGTGTCGGCTCCTTCGAAGAGCAAGTGTCAATGCCACGTGATGCAGACCGCGGGGAACAAGAGGGGGCAGGAGGGTGAGAGCGACGCCAGCGTTGAAGTGGCGTCGAGAACGCATCAACCGCCAGCATTGCCGCCTAGGCCACCCCCTAGGCCGACCAGGCGGTACGAAACAACGTCTGCCAATCAATGTGAGTATCCGAATACAATTTCGAGCGTCTATTTAACACAATCGTCGGATTGCAACGCGTCGAAAGGGAGGGGTAGTTTCCTCTAGAGGTAGCAGAACGTCTCGTCGGGGTCCACGGACCGATCTTTAGAGCTCGTCATCGACCTCGTCTTCGACTCGATCAGTGCCGACCTAATTTCCAAAGCTTCCCTCGTTTCTCGCCGCATCTTCCTACGACCCCAAAGACAGACCCTAGCTCCCCCGTTCGCGATCCACCCCGAAGACGATCTCACGGTCGCTGCAGTTATCGTCTGTCAGACGAAGGCTCTGCCACGGCGTTATCATTGGCGGGTTATCGACGCGCGAAAAGCGCTGCTGACCGATTCCGTTCGCAACCCCCGGCGGACTTTCCACCCTCGACCGCGCCGGGTCGCTGGGATCGTGACAGGATATCGACCAGTCGGTGTTCGCAGCAACCGAGAGAGAGCCAGGAGCCAAAGCGAGCATCGTGTCGAAGAATACCACGAATCGGACAACAGGCTGCAACACGTTTACGGTCGGCGGCATCGATTCGAGTGAATGGACGTGGGAGGAACGCGGACCCGGAGGTCCTTTCAAAGAAATCCCGGAGCCTGGCGTTCGCCCCCGTAATCGCCACCACCACCACCACCTGTGGGACACCCCAGCGTGCGGGTCAACGTTGATCTCGTGCAGCAACCCGGATTTGTTGTCGCATTCGTCCGCGGTGATCTAAGCTGCGCGGTGGCGGAGGGAAGACCGTGATCGCACGAGGAGACGACGTCGCCCTAAACGTGGCTCTAGAATCGTCGAGGCCCCAGCAGCCGTTCCGGCCGAGGAGAGAATTATAGATCGCAGTGCGGAATCGATCGACGGGACAGTGCGTTCGGGAGAGTTGACCTTGGCAAGTGATCCCCTTCGCGATGACACGCGGTGCGCAAACGTAGACCATAAGCGTCGAAGACGTCGATGCGTGTCCGTCGTCGTCCTCGTCCTCGTCGTCCTCGTCGTCGTCGGTTTATCTCACGTCTCGCGATCGAAACGGACTCAGTGATAAGACCGCGGAGTTGTCGCGTTCGCTTTCCGGGCGGATAAACATTGGCCACGTGCTAGGCCGAGAAGAGGACGAGAAAGTTTGGCGGCGAGAGGCGTCCCGTTCGGATCCTGAGGACATCCCGAGGAAGATGGACGGGTACCCGGTGCTGCAGATAGTGCGATGCCGGCTCGGCACGGAAATGGAGATGGATAACCAGGGCTATCCGTTCACAATGGCGGCACACGCTCATTCCCACTTGCCGCATCCGGCGAACCACGCGCACTTCCCGAGATCGCACTACCCTCACCCCTGCGGTACGCCGATTAACCCTTCTTGTTAATTTATCAATCGGCCCTCCAACCCCGTCCCAATCCGAGCCCGTATAATCCGCTATTAGCAGGCTCGGGTAAGGCTTAATGGATCGGCTCGATCTTGATAATTAATCGTCCGGAGTAGCATTTCGTATTTGTCGTCGGTTCGCTCCGGTTACGCGGGAGCAACAGCCATGAAAAACCTCCGCGACCGACGTATTCCGTAGCCGGTTCTATTTTTGCCCGTGAAAAAATACGTCGCGGCGTCGTGGAAGGTCACGTGGACGAGGAAAGGTTGCCGTAAAAATAGGTATCGACGAGTTCCTTAATAAAAGCCTGCTCGATACCGTAACTGGATGGCGGTTCGATAGAGTCTTGACGATTCTATTCCGATTTTCCAGCTGTAAAAGATCGAGGCCACGAGATTGCCTGAATGGAAGTCGCTTTATCCGTGGGATCGGAAAACCCGTGGCATTCTTTCGGATACATTGCACCGAGTCGAACGTAAATGCCTCGCTTTTCCCGAACGGTGACCGCACCGTGCGACGCAGGTAGCTCTCAGGTGCAGTCGCATGGTCCCGAGCTGCGTCAGGTATTCACGAATAGCTGCAGGTCTTCGCACGGTTTTCTCGGGCGATCTCAAAGGGGACCGCGATAGAAGCGAGGTTGCGTATCTCGGAAAAAAGAATCTTCTAATTGAAAGGAGGGGATCCCCAGGTCTTGGGAGCCTCTTCGTCGACAAAGTGACGGCAAAGGAGGCCAGTTTTTCTTCAGGAAAGCCCCGGGTTTGTGTCCCGGGCCTGGGGTTCTATTTTCCGGCGGCGACAATGGCGCGGAGACTGTCAAAAAGTTAGAGCAGGCTTAGCCGAGCGCGGGGCCCCATTGTCCTGGAATTTTCATTCAGAAGTCGACGACAGAAATTGAACGCGTCCGCGGGGTCGATGATCCTCGAGCGTTCTCTCCCGGAGAGAATTATTTCACATTTCAATTCAGCCGCGTGTAACGCAACGCTGACTCCGTCGCTAGACGGAAAAAATAATTAGATTTTTAATTACCGAAGGTGATCCTACCGCTCGTTCTTCGACAGAAAGGCCGGGGTACCCTTCTCTTAGTAATGGGAAACCTGATTAAAAAGTTCTGTCCCCCTCTGTCTCTCGAGTGTCTCTTCGCGGAGAGAGATAGAGAATCCGCCATTGTCTTTGAAGCAACGCAGCACCGGCGGCTTCTATCGTTCGACATTCATTGGCGGAATTTCCAATACAGCGTGGTCGGCTGAATCGCGAACTTTGACAACAAAAGTCGAGCCCGGCCGGCGATAGAATGGAGCGCCTCTCTGCCACTAAAAAGTCGCCACTTGTCCGATGCTTAACGCGAATAATGACAATTTCGATCCCCGCGGCGGCGGAGGCGGTTCTGTTCGTCGGCCGAAGAATTCTCTGCTTCTGAACCGAAACCACGCCGAAACCATCCCCAAAGACAGACCAGAGGACTCTCCATATCCGGGATAATTACCGAAAAATGCAGAAGGCTCCTCCTTTCGTCGGCCGAAGCCGGCAATTTCGGGAACGATCTTCCTAGTCTTTTGCTCGCGATTCGGGGATCTAGTCGGAGGGATCGTGCAGGGTAATCAGGGGCGAGAAGATTCGAAGAAACTCGGATCGCGGGCACGTCTCGGTCTGTGGTCGGATCGCGGGCTCGTTGTTGGTTCTCACGCGAGGACAATCATTATCCCGGGAGCGAAGGCGCTCCGCTTCGGAATAAGTCGTGCGGGACGATTTCTGAAAAGGGTCGATATAGCGGCGCACAAAGGGTTCCGTTTTCGAGCTATTTCGTGTTTCTCGGGGGATCCTCCGAGGCGATAGCGGCGAAGATTCGACGGGAGATTGCGCCGCGGAACTCGGCGGCCGCCGTCTTTCGATCGACGGGAAATATTCTTCGCCTTAGATTCCTCGAGCTAGAACTAACTGGGAGGGATAGGCTCGGTTTATCGTTGGCTTGCTATCAGCCGGTTTCAGAGCGATTTTAATTTTACAGGCCACACCGGCGAGGGCGGCTGCTGCAAGAAGTACGTGGTCCTTTGTTGTCTGTGCGGCGGGCTGAGCGCCGCGGTCGGCAGTCTCTTTTTGGCGGTGCACGCGGTCCTTTCAGCCCACACGGCCAGTCTAGCACTCTTTGAGACTGTACCGTCTTACATTCCTGGCATAATGGTGAGAACCATAGATCCGGATAGATTAACGGCTGTTCGAAATCGTTCCCGAACTATGTAGCAAATAATCATTTACATTCAATGCGCGGTTGCAGTTAATTTTAATGGGGCTGTTCACCATGCTGCTCGCGAGGCGGAAGCACAGATACGGGCTCCTGGTGGGTAGAACACGCAATCCTATCATCCGAACATGTCCCCGCGACACACCGCCGTGCTAACGTTGCCACGTTTTTTTTCTTCCTATTCGTTAGATGAAAGTTTGCGGCTCCGTCGGCGTGGTGTGCGCCTTGGTTTGCGTCCTGGTTACCGTCACCACCACCGTCATCCACATGTCGCGGCTCCAAGGTCTACGGAAATGCGTGTACACTGTCAAAGCAAGGTACGAGCAAACTGTTAACTCTGTAATGGCCCGGACTCAATTGTTATCGTTACCACGCCAGGTCGTGCACGTGTTACGGAGCCCCGGAAGGAGACCCCGGCGTGCTCTTCGAGGGCACGCCGCACTGCGAGGCCGTCCACGGAGCACTCCACGCTTGCCTCAGAGCCCTGTTCGGAGTCTCGGTCGCCGGAATCCTCGCCTGCATATTCTCCTGCATGCTGGTGTACCAGTTGCTCAGTCACGAGAAGAAGAAGATGTACTGGGAGCAGTTGGAGCTCCGATGCAGATCGCTCTACGGCCAGGGAGGCACCGTGGGACCGCCGACAGGATCCTGCGGGTGCTGCAACGATTGCGGCGGCGCGAGTCCTTGGTGGGCCCAGACTCCGGGAAACCTGTACACGCCTAATCCAGACCTGGCGCCATCCAGGTACGGTTCGTTCGCATGATCGACACGAATCGTCGCTGTTCCCGGCGGTGAAGCAACCGCGAACTTCGGCTTGGCGATTGGAACCTCGAAGATCGATGGGTTTTCCGATCACCCGCGTCCAAAGTCGGTTCCGACGCCTCGCCGGAGGTCAAACGACCGGCACCGCGGAATTGAGAGAGTCGCATCGACTCCAGGAATAACGACAAAGTTCTTCCCAGGAAACGCGTGGTCGATTGCGTAACGACCGCGATTACGCTGCATCGTCGTCGTCGTCGGAGCAATTTCAGTGCTTCTGCATCGCGGTGCGCTTCATTGAGCGGTTATTGATGCAATTCAGATGTTCACGTGCTGGTTCGCGAGCAGAATACGATCCATATTCAATAGATTTCATTCACGAGCGTCACGATCCTACACGGGGTACAACAAACCCGTAAACAAGCCGTCCGGCACCGCCGCCGCGGCGCATTGTATTCCGGTAATCCGTTAATGTATGGCATCAATTAAGTCGCATTCCGCCGACGACTTTTAAGGGAGCGAAACGGAGAGACGGCTCCCGGCGAATAAATTATGACGGACGAGGCGGCGTGTTCGCGTTTCCATCGAGATCGACGATAAAAACCGCGATTCCGGCCCGCGGTTCGATACGCGGAACGATACGATCTCCGAGAAACCTCGTCGCGGCTGCGAATTCTTACCCGCTGGGAAAAACGCCGGTCCCCGTCCCGCCGCGCATCAAATTCCGCCGCGGCGTTTTTTACCGGCAGAAATGCAGCACCGTCTCTAATCTTGCAGAAGATGGCGACTGCCCTGGTCGAGGTCCAGGGGACCAGCGCCGAGCCCGGACTCCAATTACGGCTTTCACACTCAGGCCAGGCAGACGGAGGCGAGCGCAGAGAACGCGAACGGGCCCTACAGCGTGCTCAACTCGCAGCCGAGCGGGCCCTACTCCGTTCTGAACACTCAGAACGGGCCCTACACACCCAGCACCGCTTCCTACAGCGTCCTGGAGACACCCGTGCCACTGTGGGGCCCGCCGCCGCCGTACAGCGACCCCAACAGTCCCGCCAGGCGACCCCAAGTGGCCGAGCAGAGGCCCAGGATCGCTAAACGGATAGAGAACTTCGAGAATAATGAAGGTGAGGGGACTCTCGAATGTCTGAGCAGCCTTGGCAGATCGGGTTCATTAAAATGGTCTTCTTCTACTTCAGAGCACGAACATAAGTTTTGAACTACAGTAATGTCTCTCTAATCGACGCCCAGATTGCGCACAAAAATGGACAATTTGGGAAGAGGAGATACGATTGTTCGAGCCTTGCGGTTTATTTTTATAGTTATAAATGGAATAATCGTACCTCCTCTTCCCAAATTATCCAAATTAGTGGACAATCTGAGCGTCAATTAGGGAGACATTACTGTATATACAGCGTATGCTGTACACAGTAATCTTGTAACATATGTATAACATTTACAAAAAATCGATCTACACTCGCATCCCAATCTATCCGGAAATCCATCCTACTAGTCTCAGTAACTGGTCCAAAATTTTGCTATCGACCTAGGGTGACCAGTTACTNCACTCGCATCCCAATCTATCCGGAAATCCATCCTACTAGTCTCAGTAACTGGTCCAAAATTTTGCTATCGACCTAGGGTGACCAGTTACTGAGACTAGTGGAATTCATTTTCGGGACAAATCGGAAAAATCCAGAAAACCAATTCCACTAGTCTCAGTAACTGGTC